CTTCCTCTCTGTATCTATCTTTTGTTCTTTTTATATTATGCAGGTAATCTTGGTGGGTCATGATTTTGGTGGTGCATGTATATCATACGCAATGGAGTTGTTTCCACATAAAGTTGCAAAGGCCATTTTTATTGCTGCAGCAATGTTGAAAAATGGACAAAGTACTCTTGAAATGTTCTCCCAACAGGTTTTCCCCCAGCCTTTTATCTTTTAATTTGATAATCTATAATTTGCACTAATATGAATGAATTTCAAAAACTGAAATTTGATGATGAATTTCTTATCGCTTATAAAGAATTTTAAATAGAAATATAATCTTACTAGAATTTGAAACCTTAAATATGTTTAGATGGATGTGATTAGCATTGTATTAGTAAACTTTTTGTCAATTCACGGCTATGAGGGGCTTAGAGGGATGGGCTTCTGTGAGTGCTGAAGTCCTAGTCATGAGTACCATAATTCTATAAGCTTTATACAAGTTGATTGAGTGACTAAGGCTTAAAATTATTGCAGGCCACTTCAGATGATCTTATGAGACAGGCTCAGATATTTTTGTATGCAAATGGGAATAATCAGCCTCCAACTGCTATTGATTTAGATAAATCAATGTTAAAGGATTTGTTATTCAACCAAAGTCCTGCAAAGGTATGTTTCTCTTCTTTTAATATGCTAAACTACAAATGATGATTTTCCATTTTTCCAGATCAGTTTGGCTTATTTCTTTTTGCTTCTCTTGGTCTAGGATGTCGCATTGGCATCTGTTTCGATGAGGCCAATTCCCTTTGCCCCAGTTCTGGAGAAGCTTTCACTTTCGGATTTGAAATATGGATCAGTGAGGCGGTTTTATATAGAAACATCAGAAGACAATGCCATACCCATCACAGTCCAGGAGAGCATGACAAAAGAAATCCCTCCTGAACAGGTCCTTCGCTTGAAAGGCGCCGATCACTCACCTTTTTTCTCAAAGCCCCAAGCCCTGCACAAGTTATTGGTGGAGATCTCGAAGATTTCTTCTACTTAGAAACACCCTTTCTTTTCTGGCTAGATGGATTCTAGAGAACGCTTCGTTCTGATTATCTGGCGACACGATAGAAATGCCACCGGAATCATCAGTAATTTATGCAGTTGCATTAGATAGGATGGCCAGTAAGCATGTAAATGCAGATAGGATTAAAGTTATGTGTTATCGGTGCTCGTTTTATTGCACATGAGAGTTATGTTCGCATAAAGATGTATTTTTGAGGTAATTTTCAAGGTTTGATGCACTTTTATCGCATGAGAGAATCGTTGTTAGATGTTTTCTTTGAGTGAACATGCAGCAAATCAACATAACATGTATTAACTTTCAAGCCAATACCTTTGCGTATAAGAGAAGGTCCTGGAGAGACACTAACAAATCACTTCAAAATTTCCAGAATTCAACCATGCAGACATGCTTGAACGCAAGTGAGTTGGACATGTCCACCACTCACTACCGTGGGGGCGCAACACTAAATCATTGATCCCAACCCACGCCACGTGTGATCTCCAACCGATGTTGGCGTGCCACCTCAGAAAATTGACCACGTCTCTTCAAAACAAAATCTAAAAACACAAACGCATACTCTCTCTTTCTTCAACTTAGAAAAGAAAAAAGAAATTTACCCCCTCACCTCCCTGTTTCTTTGGCAGTAGGCTCCAAAAGTTTAGCCCCAAGACGAAGCGAGAACAAAGTACGTTTATCTAAATAAATTTCTCTCTCTCTCTCTCTCTCTCTCTCTCTCTCTCTATTTACGCTTCAATTTCAGATCCATTTTGTTATATATCGTTATTCTTTTGGGGATGAAAAGAATAGGGATCTTAAAATGTTTTATTGGTCACGATCTGATGCTTTTGTCTATACATGTTGTTCCTTCAAATTTTGAATTCTTCGTTTCTGTTCTGCAATTTCATGTATATTTCCTGGTTACATTGGCCAAATTATTCCTGTAATGTTGTAATTATCGTCCATATGATTTCTTAAGCTGGTCCTGGTGCAGTTTCTTCTAATGTCCCCATAATCTGTTGCCATTTAGTCCTTTTTCTTAAAGAAAATTGGACCAGCAAGCATTGTGCTACATTGTTATATATATTTTAGCTGGGTTTTGTATATAAGCTTCATCATGCTGTGAAATTGTAAATTACCCCATTTTAATTTTCAACTACAGATTTTCTTGTAATGAACTCTTACATGTTTTTGTTTTCGATGAATATTCGAGCGTAAATGTTCCCTTCCCTCCTTGAAATAACATCTGGGATTTGGATTTGTTGCTGAAAAAATAGGAAGAGAAATAAAAATGGGGCGTGGCCGTGGAGTCAGCTGTGGTGGTGGGCAAAGTTCTTTGGGCTATTTGTTTGGAGGTGGAGAGAGTGCTAATGTTAACAAGACCCCGGCTAAAAGAACTCAAAACCCGGTGAGGGCAGCAGGGGAGGCTCCTTCTCAGAATGAGACTGCTCCTGCTCCAGCTCCAGCTTCAGCTTCGTCACCGATTGATAAGCAGCAGATAGCAGCAGGCCTCCATGGCAAGCCTACAAACAATTACCACCGAGCTGAGGGCCAGAACTGCGGCAACTTCATCACGGTATAAAATCCTTTTTAATTTTAATTGCTCCACTTGGCTTGTGGTTTTTGTCAATGTATATAATAATGCATCAAAAGCTCAGGAGGGATATAATGTTTTTTGCATGCAGGATCGTCCATCTACCAAGGTTCACTCTGCTCCTGGTGGCGGATCATCGCTTGGTTACTTGTTTGGTAGTGGGAACTGAGTAATCTTGCTTCTATTCTATGGAATTAATGCATCAGCAGCTGAACATTAAGCACGGATGTTACGTACTTTAATGATAATATATATTTATCTGTAATATAATTCTGAAATATCCATGTCTATATACTCCAAAAACTGTGGCCTTCATTAAGTGATATGATCTGTGTTGTTTGCTTTATATAGTGGAAACTTCACACAACAGTTCCCAAGCTTCAATTATATAGGCTTTCTTTTAGGTCTAACTTGGACATGCTCAAATTTGAAGGCTAAATGGATGGATTAGCTCAATTGGTGACGGAGGGTGGGATGATGAGTTAGGATTAAGCTAAGTTCAGGATTTTGATTCCTTCTGATGTAACCAAAGTTGGTTATGATTGCAGGTTTAATAAACTAAGGTAAATTTAATCAAAGTTAGTTATGATTATAGGTTCGAACAAATTAAAGTTATAATAACCTATCTAAATTCACAATCTAGCAATTAATCGAAACGATTAAACTCGTTCAACCTCAAACAAATTCATCCTAAAGATAATACCCAATACCCAAAGCTCCCATGAACTATGAAGTATATTAAGTTGAGTTCTAGTATTTTCTACTGGCAACTTGAGATTGAAGTTGTAACACTTTGTAGTTGAGTGTGTCTTTGCCTTCTACCGGCCTCCGAGGCTGCAAACATTGTTCGTTTGGAACAGAGTGGAATCTAACGAGAATTACTTGTTTCAACCGTCGATTGATCCCAGCCGTCCACTGTTCCACGTGTCAGATTGCGCTATTGGTTCTATTCTATACCAATTTTACTCTATCTAGTCTTGGTTGGATGCATTCCTATCCGTCTGTGTAGTAAAACTTTTCCTTTTCTATTTCTTTTTCGTTTTGGGAAATGAAACGCTTTGCAATTTACTTACAATATATATATTTTTGAAACCCACAAGACCCTACTTTAAAAACAAGTCAAGGCCAAAAAGAAAAACTCTATCTAGTCTTGGTTGGATGCATTCCTATCCGTCTGTGTAGTAAAACTTTTCCTTTTCTATTTCTTTTTCGTTTTGGGAAATGAAACGCTTTGCAATTTACTTACAATATATATATTTTTGAAACCCACAAGACCCTACTTTAAAAACAAGTGAAGGCCAAAAAGAAAAAGAAAAAAGTGAAGGCAAATACAAATAAAATAATGGAATTAAGCAAGAGGAGATAGACGTGCGATAGGTCCGTTGGACAGGGTAATAAGTCAATTTCTTGCACCCAAGTTCGAATTCTTATTCCTGTAAATTAGATTAATTTTGTTTAAACTTAGTTTGTATATTATTAGTATGATTTATTGTTCAACTTTCAAGAAAAAAAGAGAGTATATGGTTTACAAATATAACAATAATGCATTAAGTTCAGCAAATAAAATTCATTTTAATCACATTTAGTTTCTCCAAAATTTGTAAATGTCCACAAATCCAAAAAAGAATTCTAAATTACTTTTGCTAAACCTTTCCTATGAAAAGAAAAATAGAGAAGAAAAATAAATAAAAAAGGATCCAGAATATAAATTAAACTCATAGATGATAATAGCCGTCTATTGTAGCGCATGAAACTCCAACGCACTTGGTTACGGTCCGATAGACTTAACCTCATTAAGCCTCAGCTAGGGTTTTCGTCTCTCCCTCTCTCTCTGCTCTGTCTTTGCTGCAAAAGAAAAACCAGTTGCAGCTGCAGAGAGCTTGAACAATGACGACTATTTTGCCAACCTCGGAGGAAGATCCCGCTCTCTCCGTTGTCAGATTCACCTCAGAGCTCTCCTGGGCCGACGCTGGCCCTGAGGTACTCTTCTCTCCTTCTCCGCTCCTTGTTCTCTCCGTAATTATCTCAATATGCCTGCTCGAGTTCTCTTCGGTCACAAATTAATCTCTTTTATCTCCAATTCGGTGGTCGAGTGGTTTTTGCTTAGCGTCTTAGATCGAGTAGTTGAACTAAATTTTAGGGTTACTAGTATATAAAT